GCCCTAAGTGCAGCCCAGGAAGCGGGACTTGGGGCGAGGCAGCTCCGCCGAGGGGGCAACAGTGAGGGCTGTGTGCTGAGTGTCCCCCGTGAGGTGAGGCTGAGTCCTGCCATTCTGAATGGGGTCTGGGCAGCATCTGAAAATGTTCATCCTGCCAAGCCTGTGTGCCCTCGGCCCTGGCTTCATGCTGGCAGCAGGGGCCTCTGCCCCCTGCACAGCCCCAGCCGCTGAGGTCTTCCCAGGGAGGTCTCAGCTCCCTGCCCTGTGTTCACTGCTGACCCACTGCTCCAGAGGCTGGGGGGCAGCGGGGAAGACTGGCCCGTGCACTGTGAGGCCACGGCCACAGATGCAAGATGGGCCGGAAAATGAGCACCTATCGTGTGGCCAGCCATGGGGAGAAAGGGGCCTTGGGAGGGGTTAGGGTTCAGGCTCTGCAGAGTAGGCGGGGGTAGCTGCCCATAGCTTGTGGCTGTGGGGGTGCCACATAGCTTGAGGCTCCCTGTGAGACTGCTGGGCACCGGTGTCCAGGAGACAGCTGGACATGTGGCTCCGCACCTCCAGGACAGGCTACAGTCAGCATTGCTCTCTGATTTAATGGGGAAACGGAGACGGAGCAGAACCCTCTCACCAGGGAGAAGGATCCCCACACCCCATGACCCGGAGGTTGGGGCAGTCAAATCCAAAATGCATTTGTTGAGTTTGGCAGCTGGAGTCTGAGGTTAGCGCAGCAAGAGCTTTGGAGTGGGGGCGAGGGCAAGCGGGGCCTGAGCCCTCTCCCCCGACCCCGCACGGGGTGTGGGAGTCCCAGGAGTGGCTCTGGGGAGCCGGTCGGGAGGTGAGGACAGGTGTGGACAGGCGCCCGAGCCGACTCCTGTGCCAGCAGGGGATGAGGTGTAGACTGGGACCAGGGGCTGCGGGTGTGGTTCTGTGGAAACAAGGAGTGGACTGATTCCCGGGGCTGGGGCGGGAACAGTTACCACAGCCTGGGGGGCTTCGAACAACAGAAACTTAATTTTCCCACAGTTGAGAGGCCAGAATCTGAAATCGATGCTTCTAGCATTTGATGGCGATGCTGGAGTCCATGGCTCCAGTCCACTTCTGTCAGCTGAGTGCTCTCCCAGCCTCTGTCTTCCTCTGAGGACACAGTCACGTTGGAACAAGGCCCTCCCTACTCTAGCGTGATCTCACCTTAACTTAGTTGTATCGCAAAGACTCTGTTTCCAAATAAGATCACAGTCATAGGTACTGGAGGTTAGGACTCTGACATGTCTTTTGGGAGACGTGATCTAACCCAGCATAGAAGGGATCAGGCCAGAAGGTAGCGGAGGCTGGCATGCAGTTGCCGTAGGGGGACGGAGAGTAGGCTCCTGTCAGCGCTGCTCAGAGATTCAGGGCACACAGCTGTCTGCTCAGCCCTTAGCTCCTGGCAGGACCCGCACACAGGCACTGAGTCTGGTCATCCAGGGCCCCAAGGCCCAATGTGGGCACAGAGAGGCTATCGCCTAGTGGCCATGGGGCCTGGGTGGGCAGAGGGGGACACAAGGCCAGGCTGAGGTGGGAGACCTTAAGGGGTCAGAGGGCAGGGATCTGGCTGAAGCCCAGTGGGGATCCGGGAGGGAGCAGAGGCCGGAACAGTGGTGGGTCCAAGTAGAGGACCCTGGGAACAGGAGGGGGAGCACCAAGGCGGTGCTGGTGTCCGCAAATCCTTGGAGGCCACTCAAGGGGTGGTGGGGCCTTTGGGGAGCCAGGACGAGGGCCAGTGGTTGGGAGATGTGGGCGCTGAGGCCCAAGTTGTTGGAGGGAGCCACAGCCCAGGGGGCCAGGGCTGAGCCCCTGCACCAGGACCCTGGGGGAGGAGGCAAGGGCGTGGGCTGAGGTGGAGGCCAGAGGAAGGCCTACAGGTGAAAACAGAGGCTGCGCTTCCCCAGAGACTACCCTGTGCTCACGGGGTCCCTCCTGGGACCTGCAGGGCAAAGGGAGGGACTGAACTGGATGCCAAGCCTCCTGACCCAGGAGGGCCCAGGTGGCGGGTCCAAGGCCTGGAGTTGACTCCCAGCCTAGGCCTTCCCTCCCACCCGCCCTACCATCACAGGAACCCTAACAGCATCTTCCTATCCCCTGCAGGGAGCGGACAGTGGACCTCGATTGAGTGAGTTCTGCATGACCTCTCAGGCACCATGAACGGCCACGCTTCTCCTCCTCTTGACGTCCTGGTCACCAGTAACACTGAGCCAGCCATTGTCCCCAAGACCACAAAGGCCACATTGGGAGCTGGCATCCACTCTGGGCCTCAGGCCAAGGCAGTCATGTCTGCCCAGGCCCAGAGCATCGCCGGGGTGTACGTGGAGGCCTCGGGCCAGGTCCATAGTCTCTACGCTGCCATGAAGCAGGGTGTCCTGCCCTTTGGGCTCGGGCTGGCTCTGCTGGAGGCCCAGGCGGCCACTGGGGGCCTGGTGGGCCCCGCCCAGGGCTGGCCGCTGTCTGTGTCTGATGCCCTGCAGCAGGGCTTGGTGGGCCTGGAGCTGAAGGAGAGGCTGCTGGCCGCTGAGCGTGCGGTCACTGGCTACCCTGACCCCTATGGGGGTGGGAGTCTGGCCCTTTTTCAGGCCATTGGGAAGGAGATGGTGGACAGGGCACTGGGGTGGAACTGGCTGGAGGCCCAGCTGGCCACTGGGGGTCTGGTGGATCCCACCCAGGGTGTGCGTGTGGCCCCTGAGTTGGCCTGCCAGCAGGGCCTCCTGGACCAGGAGGCGTGGCACGTCCTGTCAGAGTCTGGGCCCGACTCGGGTGCCCCAGGCTTCCTGGACCCCAACACGCTAGAGCAGCTGCCGTACCGCGAGCTGCTGGGGAGGTGTGTGCGGGCCCCCAGCACGGGGCTGGCCCTGCTGCCCCTCAAGACCACTTTCCGCACCCTAAGCGGAGCGGTGAGCTTGGCTGAGCTGCTGGAGGTGGGGGTCCTGGATGAGGGGACAGCCCGAGGCCTGCGGGAGGGCAGGCTGGCAGTGCCGGATGTGAGCACCCGCGCTGAGGTGCAGCGCTACCTGCAGGGCACAGGTGGTGTGGCAGGGGTGGTCCTGCTGCCTGCAGGCCTCAAGAAGAGCTTCTTCCAGGCTGTTGCCGAGCACCTGCTCCCCATGGGCGCCATGTTCCCACTGCTGGAGGCTCAGGCTGCCACCGGCACCCTGGTGGACCCAGCTACTGGCCGACACCTGTGGGTGGATGAGGCAGTCAGGGCAGGCCTGGTGGGCCCAGAGCTCCACAGGCAGCTCCTGGCGGCAGAGCAGGCAGTGACAGGATACCATGATCCCTTCACTGGCACCCGCATCCCCCTCTTCCAGGCCATGAAGAAGGAGCTGGTAGACAGGCCTCTGGCGCTGAGGCTCCTGGATGCCCAGTTGGCCACAGGTGGGCTCGTGTGTCCTGCCCGCAGGCTCCGGCTGCCCTTGGAGGCTGCCCTGCGCTTTGGTTGCCTGGACAAAAAGACGCAGCAGTGTCTCCTGCTGGCCACTGGCTTTTCAGACCCTGGCACACAGGAAAACCTCAGCTATGGGCAGCTGCTTGCCCGCTGTGTCACCGACCCAGAAACGGGGCTGGCCTTCCTGCCCATCTTAGTGGGGAGCTTTGGAGAGGAGCCGCAGGGACCCCCATTCATTGAGCACAGCACCCGGCAGGCCCTGAGTGCTGCTGTGGCCACCATCTCTGTGGGCAAGTTCCAGGGCCGGCCTGTGTCACTCTGGGAGCTGCTCTTCTCCGAGGCAGTCCCCGTGGAACAGAGGGTGGCGCTGAGCCAGCAGCACAGGGACGGGACCCTCTCGGTGGAGGAGCTGGGAGCTGTGCTGAGGGCCACCCTCGAGCAGGCTGCAGCCACATCCAGGAACACTTTTGCTGGGCTGAGGGTCCCCGTGACTCCAAGAGAGCTGCTGACAGCGGAGATCATCAACCAAGACATGTACGAGCAGCTGGAACGAGGACAGACCACAGCGCAGGATGTGGGCAGCCTGGACTCCGTGCAGAGGTACTTGCAAGGCACTGGCTGTGTGGCCGGCCTGCTGCTGCCTGGATCCCAGGAGCAGCTCAGTGTCCATGAGGCTTGTAGGAGGGGACTCCTCAGACCCGGCACGGCCCTTATCCTCTTAGAGGCACAGGCAGCCACGGGCTTCATCATCGACCCAAAAGAAAACAAGAAGTATTCAGTGGAAGAGGCGCTGAGGGCTGGCGTCATAGGGCCCAGCGTGTATGCAAAGCTGCTGTCGGCCGAGCGTGCTGTCACCGGCTACAGTGACCCCTACACGGGGGAGCGGATCTCCCTGTTCCAGGCCATGAAGAAGGGCCTGATCGTCAGGGAGCATGGCATCCGCCTGCTGGAAGCCCAGATCGCCACGGGCGGCATCATCGACCCGGTGCACAGCCACCGCGTGCCTGTGGACGTGGCCTTCCAGCGTGGCTACTTTGACCAGACGCTGAAGTTGATTTTGGCAGACCCTAGCGACGACACCAAGGGCTTCTTCGAGCCCAACACGCATGAGAACCTCACCTACATGCAGCTGCTGGAGCGCTGTGTGCGCGACCCCAACACAGGGCTCCACCTTCTGCCACTCACGCGCACGCGGCCCCAGCTGGTGGATGGCACCACCAGGCAAGCCCTCCAGAGCCTGCTGTTGTCAGTGAGGCACGGGCGGTTCCGGGGACAGAGGGTTTCTGCCTGGGAGCTGATCAACTCGGAATGTTTCAGTGAGGATAGGAGGCGGAGGCTCCTGCAGGACTACCGGCTGCACAAGGTCTCACTGGAGCAAGTCTCAAAGCTGCTGGAGAGAGAGATGGAGAGGTGGGCAGATATCATGCTGCCCACTCTGCGGGGCCAGGTTACTGCCTACCAGCTCCTGGAGGCCCACATCATTGACCAGGAGCTCCTGGACCAGGTGCTGTCGGGGGCAGTGAGCCCCGAGGCCCTGCTTTGCATGGACAGCGTCCGCAGGTATCTGCGTGGATCGGGGGCCGTGGGTGGCGTGATACTGCAGCCCTCCAACCAGCGTCTCAGCCTCTACCAGGCCATGAAGCAGAAGCTGCTGGGGCCAGGGGTGGCCCTGGCCCTGCTGGAGGCCCAGGCAGCCACCGGAGCTATTACTGACCCCTGCAGTCTGGAGACTATGTCTGTGGGCGAGGCCGTGCGCAGGGAGCTGGTGGGGCCAGAGCTCTACAGCAGGCTGAGACAAGCCGAGGACGCTGTCACCGGCCTTAGAGACCCCTTCTCTGGGGAACGAGTGTCCCTTTTCCAGGCCATGAAGAAGGGTCTTGTCTCTGTGGAGCAGGCTGTCCGCCTCCTGGAGGCCCAAGTGGCCACGGGAGGGGTCATTGACCCCAGGGGCCACCACCACCTCCCAATGCCCGTGGCCACACAGCGTGGCTGTATTGACCAGGACATGGAGGTGGCTTTGTCTAGCTCTGAGACCTTCCCCACGCTGGATGGCCGGGGACACACCAGCTACGCCCAGCTTCTGGAGCAGTGTGTAAGGGACGAGGCATCCGGCCTGTACCTCCTGCCCCTGCCAGAAGATGCTCCTGCGATCCCCACGGACAAGCAAGTCCAGGAGACCCTAAAGGCCACTCAGGGGACTGAGGACGGCATGTCCCTCTGGGAGCTGCTGGGCTCCTGCCACTTCACTGAGGAGCAGCGGAGGGGCCTCCTGGAGGACTTCAGGGCGGGGAGGACTACGGCGCAGCAGCTGCGGGCAGCCGCGCAGAGGTGGGTGCAGGAGGCGGAGCTCCTGGCGCAGGCCCGCATCACCCTGCCTGGCCCGCGGGGCAGGGTGCCTGCCGTCTGGCTGCTGC